TAAAGCAATGCTTTTGTTAATGGAATCACATATGTACAAGAAGGGGGACGAGGCAAACATTGGTTATTATTATTATTATTATTATACACAGAAGTAGATGTAGAAATTTTGCATTAATGTTTTATTTTAACTTATCAGTTGGTTAATTATTGTGGCTTTTGTTCCTTGGTAGAACAAAAATATTGCCTTTCACCCTTGTAGATTTTATTGCTATACAAGTATCAACTTTTCTTGATTGTGTTTTTTTTATTATTAAAATAAAATCAAATCTATGCCAATCAGTTCTACATTAATAGTCAAATCAGCAGATATTATACAAAGATGATATCTTGTATAACTTTACTGCATTATTGATTTTTAGTGTTTATGAGAGATAAACATATTAATAGTTTGGTGTATTTAATATTAATCACTTTCATTTATGTTGTGTGAGAGGGAGAAGAAAACAAAGAAAACACCTAAAAACAAAGCTGAAAATATAATTAACCATGAAAAATTTACAGAAATTCCTTTTGTAGATACACGTTTTTGCTGCTGTTTTGTTATTTTTAAATGCAAATATTAGGTTGTTACATAAATTCTTTTGTTTTTTAACGATTTATTTTAATACTTGTAACTTATTAATAGTTCTGATGTATTCCCCTTCCTGCCAATGACCCACATTCAATGCTCTTGATGATAGAAATCACTTGGTTTTGACTTGAAAAATTCATCCGTGTTAGTGGCTGTACTGCTTTGCTTGTGGCAATACCAAAAAAAAAAATACTCTGAATATCAGTTTTTTTCATTATTTCTTGTTTAATAAATGGTTTTAGTATTGATGTATTGAAAAAGTTTGTAATTTAGTCTTCCATTTAGACTTTGCTTTATCTGTATGTATTGCCTTCTTAATTCTTTTACCAGTAAAGTATCTACAAAAAAATGGTGAAATGCAGTAAAAACAGATTTTGTTTTTCCTATCCACTAAAGACAGATGGCATAATTATATTTCAATTGCTTTATAATCACTCCCTTCCATCTCTTCTTTATTAACATTCCTTTCTCTCCTTGGCTATCATTACAGTTATAAAATGTTTTAACTAAAAGATATTTAAAAATGACTCCATCTGCACAGCCCTTCCAAATATCCCTACTTTTTGACACCAGATATGAATGGATGGCATATTTTATTTGACTTTCCGTACAAACTTACTGCAATCTACTGTTGCGAAATCTGTATTTTCAATAACTTCACTGTGTGCTTAATACACAATATTCACTCAACATTTATTTTCAAGGAAAAGACTAAAGCTCCAGCTAACTGTTCATTGTTCTTTCTTTCATTTGATATGAGGAGATTTGGATTAATTTCATTGCTTTCAATAACATTGTATTAAGGTTCCAAATAGCAGTCAACTAGCCAAACCCTTCCGGTTAACATACTGATAACAGCATTTCGTAGATTTAATCAGAAACATTTTTATGGAAGCATGGCACCTGTATATGTAAGTGTTGAATAGGTTCTTCAGATTCTCTTTTAGAATAGTATAGTTTTATTAATTTTGTCTGATTGATTTGTATTTTTTTTATGGCTTATCAACGCTTTATGGGTTATTTAAAGCCAAAACTTATTTTGGATTGTAGGAGTTTGCTTAGAATTCTCAAGTGATCCATCACCTAAATACTGACAAGGTTTGACATTGCTTAACTTTGGTGACATTTTTATCAATAACCAGTATATGAAAAGATAAAAAAAACATAATTATGACTTTGATAGATATATGGATAGTGTAATGGTTAGCAACTCATAATGAGAAACTGTCAAGTTTGACTTTGAATTCCAACTGAGTTTACTATGTTCCCTTTTGCATATACAACATTGGTATTTTGGAAAGGTATGAAGCTAGCTCCTCTCTCCTCACCTATGGGTTAAATATCAAGGCTGAATGAGCCCTTTTCCCTCGAAGTGGCAGCCAGTCTAGGAGAATGATAACTCTGAACTCTAAACCAGCCTGAACAGGGATGGGCTCTATGGAGCTATTTTGCCCTGGGTCATACCACTATGGTTACAGTACATGTGGTGCTCCTTATGACCCTGGTGGGCTACTGGCCTCATTATATGATATCCTTGATACATTGTCATATCAGTCTCTTGTATACTATTTATTACCCTTCAAATATACTTGACTATATTTACATTTCTTTTAAATTTTCTGATTTCAGTCATATAAAGTTTTAATTTCTAAAATATAATTGCATAATATATCATTTCATATTAAAAATATTAATGAATTTTCCTGACAAATGCCACTGTTCATTAAACAATGAATTTCCATCACCGAAGCTCTAATGCAGCTTTTCTTGAATTTTTTATGTAGATTAACGTTTTTTATAATTTCCTTATGATTTTTTTTTTTTTTTTATACACTGTATTAAATGCCTGGAAAAAGTATTAAAATAAAAGCACTTTTACACCCATTACATTTTGCTTTCTTTAAACAATTTTCCAAATTGTGTTTTAACTTAATTTTTTAAGTACTGACTAATTTTCAGTGGAATAGTAAATGTTGTATATGTTTACGATATCAGTCATAATAATTTATATCTAAATTTCATTGATGCCTTTTTCTCTATAACATCTACTTTGTGTTGTACATGTAATATTCAAGTAACAATAAAGAGCTCTTAAATTGACTGCACTCATTGTTTTTAATTACTGTAACATGCCAGTGAAAAGACCTTTGGTCTTCAAACAGTGTGTGAACATAGGGATTCATATTTCTCCAGACAGATACAGTTTCAACTGGAATTCAAAACATTGTTCAATGATCTTATTCTCTATCCCGATAAGTTGTATCACTTCACTTTTTTTATTAGTAAAAAAAAAAAAAAAAAAAATAATAAAGGAAGATGTATGAAATGGTTAAGAAGGAGAATAATGACCAGGTAGTATAGCGGTTATCATCATGGAAGGTGGAATCTGTAGTTTTAATTCTGGCTTTGTCTCTTGTGCTCACCTTTGCATGAATGCCTTTAGGAAGAACATGACTCCATTTCTTCTCACAAGAGATGTGGGATAAAGTGTAGAGTAAACTGAGCTCTCTAGTCTTAGGTGGCATCCAGTCTAGGAGAAAGAAAAAATAATAGAGAACTACTCTACTATCTTTCCCAAAAAGTCATGACAATTATTAGACAATAAAGAAAAGGGATATGTGGTGGACCATGATCACATACATCTTGAATAGGCATGGCATTAAAAAAAAAGACAAGGAAAATAAAAAAAATTCATAAATGTTGTTGCAGGATATTAAAAACAAAACAGTTTCAGTGTTGAGCTGCATCCTTGTAGTTGCCTTAATAGGGTTAGTACATAACTTATTTTCTAATTTAAATGTATCTTAGATAAAATACTGTTTACAAATGTTATTGTTTTACTACAACTACATACATACTAGTTAAGGAAAACACAAAATTGTACATTGGCAGTAAGCTCTGTACTGAGATTTGTGAATGGACATATACAGGTAGAATTACAAAAAGTGATTCAGTTAAACATGTTTTTGTTCTTTGTAACAAGCAAAAAATTACATTTGATCTTTAGATAATAGCTTTTTGATTATGAAATAAAATTTTTACTAATGAAAGATAATTTTGAACAATAGTATGCTGTTTATTTTACAAGTATGTAATGTACTGCTACATACTTGCCAAGTAACTAAAACATACTGTTGAGGCTATACAGACTGAAACTTTCAACACTATTAGCCTTTTTCTTTGATGCCTTAGATATTATGGATCTACTCTGAAAGTAGATCCTCTTTTGGTTTCTATTTTGCATTTATTAATTTGTAGCAAATGGCTCTTGGTGACCTTCTGAGGAATTGGAAAAATTGGCAAAGTACAGAATAAGGTAATAATCATTAACTGATAATCAAATTAATTTTTCTTTCTTTTTTTTTACCCTTAATGTCTTATTATCTGACAATCACTCAGATAATATTTAGCTTGTAGAACTTGGATAAAAGGAAATTGATTCAACCAGAACAATGTTTTTATACCTAGAATGCAATTAGATAAGGCTTCATGAGTTGAATTGAAAATGAAATTCCCACTGATGAATATGATATTTACATAAGAGCAGCTTATGATCTCATTATTCAAAACATTGTGACAGACATAGGTTCAGACATCAATCTAGTTATAGTGTTGCTTCATCTTATAAATATAGAAAATAAGCTCTTTTTTTATCAGTCTATAAAGCAAGGAAGCACAAACATGAAACCAAAGACTATCAAGATCAATGCAGCAAAACAAAACTGTTGGAACATTGATTGATTGATTGATTTTGTTTATATGGCTTATCAAACTTTTGCAGGTTTGTCTATATTTCTGAGATGAGGTATTATGTACAGTATTTACATTAGTCGGACTATTGTCCTCATCTTTGTCGCCATATTTGTCACAACGTTTCGGCCGTTGTACGCTCCGGCCTTCTTCAGTGGATAAAGGCGTTGGTTAGATCCAGTGACAGACCCAAAGAAGGTGAGTTCAATTCCTGGTTAAGGCAGTGGAGAACTTTCAGAGGGAAAATTAGCAGGAGATAACTGATAACTGACATCCATCAAACATGGCACGTGGAATTAGAACAGTCTACCCCAGCGATCGAAATAAAGGGTTCAGTTCAAAATTCCAACCACCTGAAGAAGGCCGGAGCGTACAACAGCTGAAACGTTGTGACAAATATGGCGACAAAGATGAGGACAATAGTCCGACTAATGTAAATACTTTTGCAGGTTATTTAAAGCCAGAAAATATTTTTAGATTGTAAGAATTTTTTTGAGATAATAATGACTTACTAATACAAGTTCATCAAATTAATCCATAGCTAGGGGAAGTAAAGGTGGATTTAAACTTTTTCCAAGGGTATTTGCACATAAGCAAATATATAATGAATATGATTAGGATTGAAACTTGGCTCTTCAATTTTCAAATCTGAGCTGTTATCCATTACACCTTACAAGCTTACAGTACCTGGTATTCCCAAGCAGTTACCCATCTAGATACTGACCAGGCTCAACATTGCTTAACTTCAGTGATTGTGTAAGAACCAGTGTTTAAACATGATATGGCTGTAAGCATTATTGGAACAAGAAATAAAAACAATAACAGAAGAGCTGATTGTTTGATAGTATTATGAGCTAAATACAATGGAAAGGGAAAATACAGCTAAGAAAACAATGCTTTTAAAAATATAAAATATTAGAAAGAAATTATAATCCTGTGGAAATTTTATAAATCTCTTTTCAGTGTCTCTCTCTCTCTCTCTTTTTATTGAGGAGTTTATGCCAACATTAGAACAATAGGTATTCTTCAAAGACTAAATAGTATCTTTAGAAAGAATGTATTAGTTCCAATAGCATTCAAGAGGAAATATTAAAACAAGACATTAATTTGCAAAAAATGGACATGTTACATAATTAATGCTGTTTGGAACTTAACAAGTAAAAGTGAAGAAAATGTTAATTACCATAATTTGGAGATGCCAGTATTGAAATTTGTTCTGCCATACTTTGTCAAGCTATTGTATGTATTGGGAAAGAAGAGAATAAGAGAGAAAAAAAAAGTTCTGTCATTTTTTTTATGGCTTGTGGACATCATTTTGTCTTAGTTTTGTAGCCAAATTGATTTTTTACATTTTGTTAGAATGTGTCTCATTTTGTCTTTCATCTGATCAGGCCTCATGAGAAACAGTTTAAGTAATAAAATCATTTTCCTCTTTTACACATCAGAAGAGGCTGCATGAAGGAGATAAGTTAATGCTCATTTTTGAATTTCAGCATACTTACCCTAAAAATGGATTGGAATCCATTGCTCAAATGATACTGGTAATTATATCAACTTTCTTCAAGTAATAATTGCTATGAAAGTATATGTAAATACATCAGTATTTAAATTCAAGAATTATTTTTTTAAAGAAAGAACTGCAAAAATTATATCACCCCTGCCCCAGAAGAAATGTGTATACCAAATGTGAAAACTAGCATAACCATCTTTTAAGGCACTTACATTCAAAACTTTGGTATTTCCTGGTATGAAGAAAATGGAATATTTGATACTTTAGAAAATATTACAAGAAAACATCCATAGTAACCCCTAAGTTATGCTAATATTTTTGGATTTTGATGCGCATATGACATTTAGAGTCAGTAATTTTAGTATACAAATATATAAAAAGCATTTCAGGTTTTTTTTATGGGCATGTGGCCAAATGTTTAGGACGTTCGCTTTCTGATCATGAAACTCAGGTTTGAATCTCATCATGTTTGATTTGTCAAGAAGGTGACTTTTAATGTTATTGGCTTTGGGAGGTGATCCCAGTGTGCTGCACCTTTGGAAATTGCCTGGAAACCATACCACAGGTTGACCCAAGACTTGTGAGTGAAATTGCATAGATGTGTAGGAGCCATTGATGGTTGTTCTAACACAAAGTCACAAGTCATTGTGACTGAGGATTTGAGTGTATCAATGTTGTTCATGTCAGATAATGTGCTCTCCTTGAAACTGTAACTCGGGTTCAGTCAGCATAGTTGCAGTATAAACCACAGGTGGATTCTGTAGATATTGAACAAACACAAATATACCTGAGCAGGTGTCTGCAACAGGAATTAGTTAGTTGTCCTAGTAGATAGCTATACTCAGATATGAATGGCGAGCTGTTACTCTAGATTTTAAGCATTTTTAATTTTTGAAAAAAAAAAGAAAAAAAATGTGGTCCATAAATTCAAAGAACAAAACCCAATGGAGGACAAATGTATTTATATGCCCTTATTAAAAGTTCCTGCCCATGAATTCATAGATGTTTTTTTTATAAATGACTTTGGTCTTTTTGTCTGCATACAAGACAGCAAATATGTCAATATATCCAACTGTTGGCTCAGATATCCTTAAAACAATATTTCACTGTGAAACAATAACATGTTTGTTAAAAATCATTTTGTTTTTAGATATTTTCTACTTAAAAACATTTTATTTAAGAACTTTTAATTTTCATAAAAACAAAATGATTGTGTCTTGTAAATCTTATTTGACTGCAATAATTTGTTTTTATGCAAAACTCAGACTACTGAGTAACATAATTTTTTTTTTTTTCAAATTTCATTATTTGTATTTTTATTTTAAATTTAATGCCTTATTCAGCCTACTGCTTTCTTCAAGGTACAATGTTTTAAATATATTGACATAATAGATTATAAAGAAATGAGAATTATTCGCTAAATCATTATTTCAGTGGTTTACATGAAGACAATGTCTGATAAATTATATTCTATTATGTTTTATTTGAAAAAAATATTCAAATAAAAAAAACATATACAAAGAATAAATAAAAATCCAGCAAATAAAAAAACAAATTTATCAGTAATCAATAGCAGACTTATGAATTGCCAATTGTTTTATCAATAAGTAGAATAGACAAAAAAGGATATGTAATTAAAAAAAAGATTGATAATTTTATATTGGATAAAGAATGAGGTGGAGTCAGCAATTACTCAAGAACAATTTTATCTACATAGGTCCTGTGTTTTCCCTCATGTTTATTTTCATATTAACAATAAGTTTTTCTTTTACTTTTTATATTGTCAGCATTTTTTCATTGTAAGTCTTCAACAAATCTGTATTCTTGGTTTCCATTTGTCTTAGTTTTGGTGTTCTGCTGGCAAGAACTACTCTAAAGATTTTTGTTTTATTGTTTTACAACGGTTATTTATGTCACTGTCTATTGTATCTATAAAGTGGAAGCTAACTATTTTTTTTGTTATTAAATATGTCATTTTGAAAGGATATTTTATCTCTATTGCTCTCATACAACCACTTAAGTGTTAAACTTTGTGAACCTATTAAGGGCTTCAAATCAGCTTCAGTATTCAACTAGATATTTTTTTTTTTTTTATAATAAAGATGACGATATTTTTTATTGTGTGGATAAATTGCTACATACTTACTCGAGAAACAAACATGATTCTTTTACCTGAAGAAGAAAAAATCAGAAAAAAGCTATAATACTGTTAACAAAAAGCAAAAATGAATGAAAAAGAAAGCCAAAAACTTTTCCTGCTTTTATTGTCACTCATAAATCATGATTCTGTTGCAGATTGACAGCAGAAGAATCCTTCAAGATAATGATTAATCCAATTGAATGCAAGGCCATATAGTTATTCCCAGAAAAATATTCTAGATGCATTTACAAACAGGGTCTTTTAAAAATAACCTAGTCTTAAAAAGGAAAAGTGAAGTGATACAACTTATTGGGATAGAGAATAAGATCATTGAACAATGTTTTGAATTCCAGTTGAAACTGTATCTGTCTGGAGAAATATGAATCCCTACCATCTCCCACTGAAGACCAAAGGTCTTTTCACTGGCATGTTACAGTAATTAAAAACAATGAGTGCAGTCAATTTAAGAGCTCTTTATTGTTACTTGTACCATGTAATCTAATATTACATGTACACAATACATGTAAGACATTCTTTGCCCAAGAGATTTCATGAAGGATTTAACATAGCACCCAAATGCTCCAGATCATGGGGGCTAATTAAACAATGTTAAAAGCATATTATAGTGTGTATATGTGCATTTATAATATGTATGACCACAACACTCTGAATAAAAACTTTGTATGCAAACATATTTAACTGGAGTTAGATCTTAGAGAGGATGACTTTAAATTGCAGATTTATTAAATATCAAAGCAGCCTTTTTCTAAACTTCTTGAAAATGTCTCATAAATTTTGACTTCTAACAAATCAAGGAAGACTAACTTATGTTCTTTACTGAAGTATGGTGTTATATGTGACAAGTTTAATTTTACTATTTAAAAATGCATTTGTAAAATCATTTTGTAAATTTATTTAAAAAGAAACTTCTTAAATGTTGCTAATAAGAATAATTTTAATTTTGACAAAAATTGTAGTTTAAAATTTGTTGCATTTTCTAGTTTAAAAAAAAATTAGTTTCTTCTCTCTGTAAAATATTGTCTGTAATTTATCAACCATTAGAATTAAATGTTTACAATTTTTTTTTTGTTGTTGTTGCAAAAACCATGGTTTTCTACAGTTTTCAATTGTTTTCAAAAAAGAGAGTGATGTAGACTTTTGGGGATAATGAAAGATACCTTCCAAAAGCTAAGCAAATATTAAAAACAGAAAAAAAATTCATTAAAAATAAAGAAACAGTACTGAACTGCTATGTAATATCATTCCTCCAATATAACAATGAATGCTGGACAATCCTCTCATACATGAAGAAAAGACTAAACAACAGAAATGTGGTTCTACAGAAGGATGCTGAGAATACCACGGCCTAACATATCAACAACAATGAAGTTTTAGAGAAAATAGAAGCAAAGAGTACACTTATACTTAACATCAAGAAGAGATAGTTGAAATTTCTAGGGCACACAATGAGGAAAGAAGGGTTGGAAAATTTGATACTGACAGGACAAGGTAAGAGGGACAATGTATAACCTACCTAGTGAGTTTGAGTAAGTGGATGGTGGAATAAGGTTTAAGAAAAGACAAAAATTTCTTAATAGCTACAAAGGATAGGAATTTGTGGAGAGTCATGATAGCTAATGTCCTGATTATAATTAGAGAAAAAAATTGCATGTCATCAACAGTAAAGGATTATTAAAAATTTTGTGTTTATATTTTCTTGGTTGTAAAAGTTGACAAATGATATGTCCTGGAAAGGGATATATTTGTTTGAGGTAGCAAGTGGTTGTTGACTACTGTAAATGGGTAGGACAATTTAGAAGGTAACTGTAATGGACTTGTCCTTGTCTTAGTGGTAGGCAATAGGCATAGGTAATAGGCAAAGACTATAGGCGTAGCCAATAGGCATCCTTGTACTTCCACATCAGTCTGTATTTATGGCTGACACAGCCAATTATATTACTGTGAGGGGGAACCCAGGTATATACATATTCATTACATCAACAAAATACTTTAAAACAAAAAGAAAATAGCCTTTTTAAATTTCTAAAATTAAACAACTGTTAAATAATTCTAGTCAATTTGACACAAGATTTTCTTTCAGAAAATATCTTTGTAAAGGAAATAAATTGAAACTTTTTTG